GGGCGCAGTCAAGGTTCTCAGTTTTGGGGGGGGTAACTTCTAAATGCGTTTCAGTCACGGTTTCTGGAACTTTGCTCCAAAGCGAGGTAAATAAAATCGTGAATGCACCCAACCCAGCTTTAGGGTTGGGTGGGGATGTGTTGTATTCGACAGATGCCTGAAGTGGATTAAGAACTTAAAAACGTAACTGCGCCTTAGTTTTCCCCTTTTTTGTTTTCTTTCTTTTTTTTGTTCCTTTTTTTTCTTTTGGTTGTTCGATGGACCACTGATCAGATGCTGGTCTAGGCTACCATCCGCCCGGGTCCCGGGTGGCCAGCCTGTGCAAGGACCAGGGAAGGTCCCAGCAAAAGAAGGGAAAAAAAAAAAAAAATCCGAAAAAAAACTATGCTATGCAGAAAAATAAACTAAACAACTTTTGCCTCAGGGTGATCATGGCGGCGCAGGGAAGAACACTAGGGTGTTAGGGGGGCGGGCCGAGGGAGCAGTGATATGCTCCTCGTCTTTGCTGGTCTCACTTGACTTCTGTCAGGAATCCTAGTTCGGTGGAGGAAGGAGAGCGTGATATGTGGGGGCCATAGGCGGGTAGGATCCGGACGCTGCACCATACCTGACGAGACCGATAGGGGGTTCTGCCCCTCGATCTTTGATATAGAGAACCCCCGATCTTTGATATGGAGGTTTTTGCGGGGGTCTCCTGCCCCGACACTGTTGTCAGGGTCAGCCCGCGAAGGTAACGAAGACAGGGGCTAAGGGAGATTGACGGACTTCTCATGTTCGCTGCACAGCCGGGGTACATGGGGATTTCGTTTACGATCTCCAGCAGGAGCGCACATAGACTTTGTGGATTGGGTGTGCTCACCTGCCGTGGCACGTGATAGGGTCTGTGAGAGAGAGAGAGAGAGAGAGAGAGAGAGAGAGAGAGAGAGAGAGAGAGAGAGAGAGAGAGAGAGAGAGAGAGAGAGAGAGTTGTACATAGTGGATTGTTGTTGTTGGTTTGGTGTAAGTTTTTGCTTTGGTTTAGGAATCTGCCACAAATAGGTGAGTGTCGCTCCGCGGGGATTCAATCATGGTGGGCGGCGGGGTCTCTTTGGGAGCCGACACAGATGGGTGAAGTAGTTTAATACCCTGAATCACGAGGAGGAGGCTGGTTTTGTGGGGTCTTCGACCCCTGCTGCGCGGGTGGTGGGGTATCACTGCTGGTTTATGAAGATATTGGGTTTGGTTACATA